CAGCGATGTCACTTGCGTCGGTGACGAGCTCGAACGGACGGTGGGGATCTGCAATGTGAAGGACGGGCGGGGAGCACAAAATATTTTTGAGGGCCGAGAAGGCAGCTTGCTCTTTCTCCCCCCACGTGTACTCAACCCCCTTCCTCAGCAGGTCAGTCAACGGGGCAGTCAGCTTCGCCATGTCGGGGACGAACCGGCGCACGTAGTTGACGAACCCCAGGAAACTCTGCAACTCGGTCAAGTTGGTCGGCGCGTGCCAAGCCTGAATCGTCGCAATTTTCTTCGGGTCTATTTCCACTCCTGCAGCTGAAATAACATGTCCCAAAAACTCCAGGCGGTCCTGTAAAAACTCACACTTAGATGCTTTGGTCAGTAGGCGGTTCTCACTCAGGATTTTAAAAACTGCTTCGATGTCTTGTAAGTGCTGTGCTCTGTCAGGGCTGTAAATCAGTATGTCGTCCAGATAAACGATGACGCACTTATCTAAAAGCGGGCGGAATGCTTCGTTCATGGTCATTTGGAAAGTGGCGGGGGCGTTGGTCAGTCCGAATGGCATGACGGTGTATTCGAAGGATCCGTAGCGTGTTCGGAATGCGGTTTTAGGGCAGTCGGGTGGGTTGACGCGGATTTGGTGGTAGCCTCCTCGGAGGTCGATTTTCGAGAAAACCCGGGCTGTGCGCAGTTGGTCGATCAGTTCGTCGGCTCGTGGGATGGGGTAACGGGATTTGATGGTAACCCTGTTCAGTGCCCTGTAGTCGATGCACATGCGAAAACCCCCGTCCTTTTTCGGTGTGAACAGTATTGGTGCGGCGAAGGGCGACGAACTAGGGCGGATGAATTCCTTTTCGAGCAGGTAATCGAGCTGCTTCCTCAGTTCGTCTAGTTCGGGTTGGGTCAGTCGGAACTGTCGCTGTACTGTTGGCTGTGCCCCCGGTTCCAGTTCTATCCTGTGATCGTGCGGTCGCTGAGGTGGCAGTCCCGTCGGCAGGTCGTCCGGGAAAATGTCACTGTACTGTTTTAACAGTGCCGCCAGGTCACTCGGTACGTCGGTCAGCAGTTTCTGTAAATCGCCCCCCTTGTCTGCTGCCTCGGCTTCCCGAATGTCAACCGCGTACACGTCAGCTCCGGCTGCTACAGCGCGTTTCATCGTGATCGCATTGACACGCACCGACGAAGACTCAGGCGAGCCCCAGCGAGGTAAGGCGATGCTGTTACCGTTTACTCGCACGGTGCAGTCACCCGTCGTCCAGTCAATTCGCGGATTGTGTCGTCGCAGCCAATCACGCCCGAGTAAAATGTCGGTCCCGTCGAGGGTCGTTGCGAGCATTTCCTGACTAAACGTGAAGTTACCCCCGCATCGAATCCGAACTCGGTCTACGCGTTCCCGTATTGCCAGCGGCGTGCCGTCTACCAGTCGTGCGTCGATCTCAGGTAAGCATCGGTCCAGTGGCAGTCGCAGTTTGCGTGCTGTAGCAGTGTTAATGAGGCTGTGGCTGGCTCCCCCGTCTACGAAGATTTTAACTAAGTCCGTCCCAATTTTCCCACTGAGCAGTATAGGGCTGTCTACCGTGGTACCCTCCTTATTCGGCCGGGTGTGGTCGATTGCGTGAACCGGCACAATCACTCGGTGAGGGTCGGTTGGGTCGGGCGAGCGGCGTGACCTGTCAGTAGAGGGCCCGTCTGCTACTGACTTCCAGCGTTTCCCTGCTGCTTGGTCTGTGTCTGCTGCTCAGCTTCCCCCTTTCCTTTAGCGTTTTTCGGGCATTCGCTCTTGCGATGTCCCGGCCGATTGCACGCAAAGCAGCGCCCTTTGAACGGTGCGGCAGCGGCATTTGCGGCGACGGCGCGTATCGTGGCGCTCTCGTTCGTCCCACGAGGCCGATGTCCCCAGGTGTTGTTTCCGTAGGACCCCGGTCTCGGTCGGCGAAAGAAGTCGAGCTTCTCCGCCATAGCGAGAATTTCCTGAAACTCAGTGACGCCGCGAAGTTGGATTTCCTGAGCGATGTCCTGCTTCAGGCCGCCGATGTAGCGGTCGATGCGTTCGCTCTCATGCATGTAGCCCACCTGCTCGCATAGCGCCAGAAATCCGCTCGTGTAATCCTGGACGGAACCGAGTTGGCGCCAAGTGCGGAGCTTCTGTCGCGCCGAGATCGAGGCCGCAATTGGCTCAAATCGAGCGCGCAGACCTGCGCACCACGCGTCCCACGTGCGATACTGGGGCACCTCCACGAAATACGACGGCGCCCAGGGTCCGGTTTGTCCTTCCCGTGTCGGTAGTGTCGCGTAGTCGGTCGGCTTCGTGACGATGACGCGCCACCAGTCCATGGCGGGTCCTCGCAGCAACGACACGGCGTATCGAATCTTCGCCGAGTCCTCCGAGACGTAGTTGGCGTCGAAGAAGACATTCATTGTGAATAACCACGCCTGAACGGTAGGACCACCCCGTTGACTCGGGTCAAAGCATGGCGGGCGCTGCGGCTTCAGCGGCATCGGTGACGGCAGTCCCGAATCGTGGGTTGGTGCCGAAATCGTGACGCGAGGCTGACTTGGGGCCGCAGGCGTCGCTCTGGGGTGTGTCGTGCCGTGGTCGTCGTCTCCGTCGGGGCGGACGACGCCATCACTGGCCGCGCTCGCGGGTTGCCCCACACTCCCGTGTTGTGATGTTGAGGGTGCGGGTTGAATCGGAGTGCCAGGTGCTTGAGATTGTGCTCTCAGGAGGTCATTTTGCAGTGATGAGCGTTCTGCCGTCAATGCCGCGATTTCCTCGGAGCTTTCGTGCAGTTGTCGCAGCAGATCGTTCAAACGCTCCTGCGTGAGAGTGGTGACGTCGATGTTTTCGGCCATGACGAAGGGCGTCGGCTCGTCTTAGTCTAGGCGCAGTCGTGGCTGCACGCGTTTACGAGAGAACGCGAGGACAGCGGCTCCTAGGGGCTAAGGTGCGTGAGTCCCTTCGAGTGAAAAAATCAAAAGTTGATTTCCTGGTGTGCGGAGATGCGCGGTCCGAAAGAAAGGGGCTCTGATACCAAGTGTTACGGGTGCAATGAATCGAGGTAGCGAGAATTGCACTAAGGTGTCAAACGAGTACAAAATGTGAGCGAAGGCGTGAGCGAACATTTATACGCGAAACATGCAAAACGGTAACGCGGTGCATGCGAGCTTGCTAGTGCTACGCTGGAGCGAGGCTCGGGCTAGTCCCGAAGCGTAGGCCGATACGGCCATGCCAGCAGTGCGAGGTTTGGTAAAATAGTGCGCGCGAAGTCGGCGAAGTTCCGTTAGCAGTAACGGGCGAACAATCGGCTGTTGCTGTACGCGATGTAGTCGGCTCCGTAAGGAATGCCGAGAAAATTCCTTACAGCTTTACTAGACAGAGTGCGCGGAAGACTTCTATAAAGAGAATGAATTACAGAATTACTGAATTATCAAGAATGATAAAGAAGCACGCTTTTATAGGGTCGAGACCGTGCTAGGCGAGGACCTCGGGACGTGGCTGATTTGGATGTGTCGCGATTGGTGCGGGGCGACTCGGCATTGGTTTGGTGCGGAAGTATAGGCCGAGCCACCTGATGCAAAGTGCTCGGGCTGTACCCGTTAAGGCAATGCTACAGTCAGGAATTGGCATATTCTGATTAGAGGCGGATTCTCCTGCCAGGCATGGAGGCTAAATGTCTATTAGTTTTATACATGGTTACTACCCTCTGACAGCTCTTGGGAATATTCTGTCGAGGTGGCCCTTTGGATAATCGTGGACCCAAATGCCGCGTCGCTTTGCGTCAAACTGAGCTTCCTGAGGTTCTTACCGTACGTTCTATAGCGGGAACAAAGAGTTCTAAAAACAAAATACAGCGAAACACTCTTAAAACAAGAAACCTGGTAACGATCAGAAGTCAATTTAAACTTCATCTGCATCCCATGTAGTGCATTTATTGCGTAGCGAACCATCCCCTTCACTACCTGCCCCATTATCTCCCACTTCTCTACTCGCGCATATTTCTTCAGTAAAGCTTGACCCATGTGGGTCATGCGCACCCGTGCAAGCCATTGGAGCATGAAGGAACACTGTAGCCTTGATGCACACAAGCTTATCGAGGATGGCCTGTAAGGGGCCAGCACGCAGCAACAAAGCAAGAACAAACAGGATAACGTATATGAAATGAGGTAAGCACAAACTGCAGATTCTTAGGATCGACAACACGGAGAACACAAGCATCTATGTAAAAACTGAATTAACAATATACTTGAAAAGTTAACACTTCAGTCACGTATTGTTCCTGAGGAATGTTCATACGGGACAGGGCGGAAAACCACGGGCGAAGGCGCGACCACATGCGTGAGCACACCGCATGCGAGCTGCCCGCGGACCGATAAATAAATAAATAAATAATAATAATGATAATGATAATAATAATAATAATAATAATAATAAAAAAAAAAACTAAAACCCTCTAGGAAAGGATGCCCTTTGGGAGGTATCAACCCTAAACACCTTGCCTCATGCCGACCCATAGGGTTTTATTTTCTTGCCCGCGGGCAGCTCGCTTCCGCCAGCTTGCGCGGTTGATGGATCGATTTTCCATCAACGCCCGATAAGTTGGTGGGTTGGTGTATTGATGTTGCCGCCCCCCCGCAGGTACTGTGCAACACTATGAAATGCAAAGCCTCTGTACTGTAAAGGGACATGCGATAACTAGGCCTCACCTGCACGCCTGTATCCAGCTGAGGGACAGAGGGGTCCGCAGCAGCCCACGTGATTGGTCGAAGTTCCTCATGTAGTAGCTGAACGCCAGTGAATTCAAGGAGGGGAAAGAGAGGAAAGGTGTACCAAGGTTGAGAAGGGAGGGGGGTTTGAGGCACCTCTAGAAACGGCCAGCAACAGCCCACATGAGTGGACAAAGCTCCTCTGGCTTTTGAGTCGACTCAAAAGCTGAGTGGACAAAGCTCCTGTGGCAGCAGATGAATGACAGTGGGTTTGGGGAGACGGAAAGAAGCAAGCGGGCGGGGGAATGGGAGCAAGAGCGAGAGCCATCGCAAGAGCAAAACGGCGAGGTGCCATGCAGACAACAACGAGGGGAAAGTATGCTCCTGTAACGAGGTGCATTCATGAGCTCACCTGCACTGTTCTTAAAGCGACGTCCCTGTGCTCCTTGCTGAGAACAGTGAAGGAGTTGGACATCCACCTGACAGCATGAGATGGGGCAGGAGCAGAGGGAATGGGGGCGATGAGTCATTCAACGCTGCTCCATGTTTCTCGGTGCTCCTTGCTGAGTACAGTGAAGGAGTTGGACATCCACCTGATGGCATGAGATGGGGCAGGAGCAGAGGGAATGGGGGCGATGAGTCATTCAACGCTGCTCCATGTTTCTTGGTGCTCCTTGCTGAGTACAGTGAAGGAGTTGGACATCCACCTGATGGCATGAGATGGGGCAGGAGCAGAGGGAATGGGGGCGATGAGTCATTCAACGCTGCTCCAAGTTTCTTGGTGCTCCTTGCTGAGTACAGTGAAGGAGTTGGACATCCACCTGATGGCATGAGATGGGGCAGGAGCAGAGGGAATGGGGGCGATGAGTCATTCAACGCTGCTCCATGTTTCTTGGTGCTCCTTGCTGAGTACAGTGCAGGAGTTGGACATCCACCTGATGGCATGAGATGGGGCAGGAGCAGAGGGAATGGGGGCGATGAGTCATTCAACGCTGCTCCATGTTTCTTGGTGCTCCTTGCTGAGTACAGTGAAGGAGTTGGACATCCACCTGATGGCATGAGATGGGGCAGGAGCAGAGGGAATGGGGGCGATGAGTCATTTAACGCTGCTCCATGTTTCTCGGTGCTCCTTGCTGAGTACAGTGAAGGAGTTGGACATCCACCTGATGGCATGGGGTGGGGTTGGGAATGGGAATGGGGATGGGGATGGGCATGGGGATGGGGATGGGCATGGGGATGGGAATGGGGATGGGGATGGGGATGGGGATGGGATGGGGATGGGGATGGGGATGGGGATGGGGATGGGGATGGGGATGGGGATGGGGATGGGGATGGGGATGGGGATGGGGATAGGGATGGGGATGGGGATGGGAATGGGGATGGGGATGGGGATGGGGATGGGATGGGGATGGGGATGGGGATGGGGATGGGGATGGGGATGGGGATATGGAAAGGGATGGGGATGGGGATGGGGATGGGGATGCGGATGGGCATGGGGATGGGGATGGGGATGGGGATGGGGATGTGGAAAGGGATGGGGATGGGGATGGGGATGGGGATGTGGAAAGGGATGGGGATGGGGATGGGGATGGGGATGGGGATGGGGATGGGGATGGGGATGGGGATGCGGATGGGCATGAGAATGGGGATGGGGATGGGGATGGGGATGGGGATGTGGAAAGGGATGGGGATGGGGATGGGGATGGGGATGGGGATGGGGATGGGGATGGGGATGGCGATGGGGATGGGGATGGGGATGCGGATGGGCATGAGAATGGGGATGGGGATGGGGATGGGGATGGGGATGGGGATGTGGAAAGGGATGGGGATGGGGATGGGGATGGGGATGGGGATGGGGATGGGGATGGGGATGCGGATGGGCATGAGAATGGGGATGGGGATGGGGATGGGGATGGGGATGGGGATGGGGATGCGGATGGGCATGAGAATGGGGATGGGGATGGGGATGGGGATGGGGATGTGGAAAGGGATGGGGATGGGGATGGGGATGGGGATGGGGATGGGGATGCGGATGGGCATGAGAATGGGGATGGGGATGGGGATGGGGATGGGGATGGGGATGTGGAAAGGGATGGGGATGGGGATGGGGATGGGGATAGGGATGGGGATGGGGATGGGGATGGGGATAGGGATGGGGATGGGATGGGGATGGGATGGGATGCGGATGGGCATGAGGATGGGGATGGGGATGGGGATGGGGATGGGGATGGGGATGGGGATGGGGATGCGGATGGGCATGAGAATGGGGATGGGGATGGGGATGGGGATGGGGATGGGGATGGGGATGGGGATGGGGATGGGGATGGGGATGGGGATGGGGATGGGGATGGGGATGGGGATGCGGATGGGCATGAGAATGGGGATGGGGATGGGGATGGGGATGGGGATGCGGATGGGCATGAGAATGGGGATGGGGATGGGGATGGGGATGGGGATGGGGATGGGGATGGGGATGGGGATGTGGAAAGGGATGGGGATGGGGATGGGGATGGGGATGGGGATGGGGATGGGGATGCGGATGGGCATGAGAATGGGGATGGGGATGGGGATGGGGATGGGGATGGGGATGGGGATGTGGAAAGGGATGGGGATGGGGATGGGGATGGGGATGGGGATGGGGATGGGGATGGGGATGGGGATGGGGATGGGGATGGGGATGGGGATGGGGATGCGGATGGGCATGAGAATGGGGATGGGGATGGGGATGGGGATGGGGATGGGGATGGGGATGGGGATGGGGATGGGGATGGGGATGCGGATGGGCATGAGGATGGGGATGGGGATGGGGATGGGGATGGGGATGTGGATGGGGATGGGGATGGGGATGGGGATGGGGATGGGGATGGGGATGGGGATGGGGATGGGGATGGGGATGGGGATGGGGATGGTGATGGGGATGGGGATGGGGATGGGGATGGGGATGGGGATGGGGATGGGGATGGGGATGGGGATGGGGATGGGGATGGGGATGGGGATGGGGATGGGGATAGGGATGGGGATGGGGATGGGGATGGGAATGAGGATCACCTGTTGTCAGGAGTCAGGTCCGTGGCCAGAAACACCGCCACCTGCTGTTGCTCGCCACCCTCCTTACCCTCCGCCCCACCTGCTCCTTCATTCTCCCTCCCCCCACTCCCCCCACTCCCCCCACTCACCCCCCCCACACGCGTGGCCCACCCCCTCACACTCTCCACGAGCCCTCGAGCGCACGCAGCCATCTGCTGCAGCCGCACTCCCGCCCGAAGAGCCTTCTCCAGCCGCCAGTGCGCCGCCACCACCACCACCCCCTCGCCCCCTCCCCCGCCGCCTCCCCCGCCGCCTTCCCCGCCGCCTCCCCCACCCCCTCCCCCTCCCCCTCCTCCATGCATTTGCCCCCTTTCCCCATTCTCTGCACTGTCCTCTTCTCCACCCCCTCCGCTCTCCCCACCTGCTTGCAGTTGGATGTGCTTCGTTATAAGGTGATCCGCTGCAAGGTGCAGGTGCGGCGGGTACACCAGGGACCGCCGGGCCTCGGACGCCAGCCGGCCTATCCGGGAAAGACACATCAGCGGCGACGCTTTGAACACCACTGCCACGTCAGCATTCCGATCAGGTTCGTCTTTCCCAAGAATAGACCCTTCCTTGCCTTTCTCCCCACCAATAACAGACCCTCCTCTCTCCTCTCCTCCCTTCCTCCTCTCCCCTTCCTTCCCACCTTCCCCTTCCTTTTCTCGTTTCCCCTCCTCCTCCATCCCCCCAACCTCGCCGCCCGTTCTTCCCAATGCTACCATCGGCTCCTCCCCAGGCAGTACTGTAGCACCTCCGTCTCTTCCCAGCAGGTCCTCGGCGCCGGGCGGCTTGGCACGGCGTTTAGTGGTGCAGGTGCGGGTACAGAGGGCGGGGGAGAGGAGAGCGCGGTTGAGCAGGAGAGAGGAGTCGGAGCGGAGAGAGGCGTTGGGCTGGAGACCTGGGGTGTTGGTGTTGCGGCCAATCTTGGCATAAGATGCTCTCTACTGGAATGGAAGTAGAGGGAGGAAGATGGGGGAGAGGGGGGTCAGGAGGGGGATAAGGGGGGTCAGGAGGGGGATAAGGGGGGTCAGGAGGGGGATAAGGGGGGTCAGGAGGGGGAATAAGGGGGGTCAGGAGGGGGATAAGGGGGGTCAGGAAGGGGATAAGGGGGGTCAGGAGGGGGATAAGGGGGGTAAGGGAGGCATTGGCACGGAGGGAGGTGTTGGGCCGGAGGCCAGGGGTGTTCGTGTTGCGGCCGATCTTGGCATAAGATGCTCTCTACTGGAATGGAAAGAGGGGATGGGAGGTGGAGGGTGGGAGAAAAGGGGGTGTGTGGGGGATGAAGGGGTAATTGAGGTGTTTGGATGGGTTGGGCTGGCTGGAAGCCAGGGGTGTTGGTGTTGCGGCCGATCTTGGCTTAAGACGTTTTCTACTGGAATGGAAAGAGAGGGATCGGGTTGGGGGAGGGGGTTGGAGGGGAGGGGGAGTTATGGGAGGAAACAGCAGGAGGTGAGAGAGGAGAGGAAGAGAGGGAGAATGCGTTTTCTTACTTTAACGCCTCCCCTCGTAGCTCACTGGATTGCACCCCCCAGAACCCCTCCACACCCACCACGTCACATGCCTTCAGCTTGCCACCCCCAGCACCAGCGCCACCACTCTCTCTTCGCTGATAGGCCCTCAGAATCTAAAATCAACCGCATTGAACCTCTTAGCAATCCAGTATTCCCATCAGAGCCTCCCATTGCATTCCACCCCGCAGCACCGCATTACACCCACCACGTCACACGCCTTCATCTTCCCATCCCCCAGCACCAGAGCCACCGCACTCCCTCTGCCTCTTCCTGCTGCCCGCCACGCCGGCACCACCTGCCCGTAAAAAAACTCCTCCGAGACCCACGGCACAAACTGCCCGAGCCTGCCCGGGTCGAAATAAGTGCAGAAGGGGAAGGCGTAATCTGCTACAGTGCCGATCCTGCTGTTCCCAACGGACGGCAGGATGAGGGTGCGGCCTGTGTGACGGGCCACAGATAACACCTCCCCCAGATGCAGCCGAGCCTTGCTGAGCTGCTCGTAGAGACGACCCACTGATATGAACTTGGCGGATAGTAATGAGGCTGCTTGTAGCGGGGATGGGGAAGGAGAAGGGGGAAGGAAGCGGGATGGGGGAAGGGGGGAGAGTGTGAAGGGGGAGAAGGGGGGAAAGGGGAGGGAAGCGGGATGGGGGAAGGGGGAAGAGTGGGAACGGGGAGAAGAGGGGAAGGGGGAGAACGATCAATAGCCAGGCAGGTGCTGGTAAAGGCGACCCACTGATATGACCTTGGCGGATATTAGGAGGCTGCTTGTAAGGGGGAAGGGGAAAGCAGGGAGGCGAAGGGGAGGGGGAAGCTGGAGGGGACACGGGGGAAGGGGGAGTGGGGGAAGATGGGGGGGGGGGGGGGAGGGTGTTGGTTTCAGTAGGCGGGTGCTCGTACAGGCGACTCACTGATATGAACTTAGCGGGCAACAAAACGGAAGGAGGCGACGGAAAACACGGGGAGAAAAGAGGAGGGGAAGGCGGGTGGGAAATGGGTTGCGTGCTTGGGTGGCAGGGGAGCGAAGACTGTTGATTGATCGTGCTTGGGTGCTTTGCAAAAGAGCAAAGACCGACGAGATCAGGCTGCTCGCGCAGGCAGGCGGGCAAAAGCGACGAACGCGGTGGAAAGATTCCTGAGATGCTGGGAGGGGGAACGATAAAGGAATGGCTGGGAGATGGGACGATGAAGGAATGGCTGGGGGGGGGGACGATAAAGGAATGGCTGGGAGGTGGGACGATAAAGGAATGGCTGGGAGGGGGGACGATAAAGGAATGGCTGGGAGGTGGGACGATAAAGGAATGGCTGGGAGGTGGGACGATAAAGGAATGACTGGGAGGTGCGCTCACAGGGATCGAAGCTATCAGAGTTGGGCGGGAGGAGAGGAATTTGCAGGTTCGCGGATAAAAGGAAATCAAAGAAAAGATTCGAGAGTGGACTCACAGGGATCGAAGCTATTTGAGTATGGACGAGACGCCATTTCCAGGGGACACGTGTATGAGAGCGACGAAGTTTCAGCGAAACTGACTCCGCCTGCTCTCTCGCCGCCTCCACCTGACTCCCTCGACCAATCAGCGCGCTGCGCTGCAACGAGCGGAAGCCTTACGTCGAAATGCGGTCCTATAACGAGGATGGCTGGGATCAGAATAACGGCGGCCTGAAGCCACTGCAGAATGGATCGGCGAAAAATGGCCATAACGAGTACTAGATTTCCCACTGGCTCAAAGAGTTGGTACTAGATTCCGAAGCACAAGAAAGGTACGAGATTCCAGGAGATTCCAAGCGGTATTCGCTGGCTATCACTTCAATCTTTTCGCTCTCGAGCTACCATGACTCATGAGGCTTCCAGTCGCCATCACCTATCATCCATCTCTCAAATCGAGAGGCTCGAAGCTGAAAGTGCCTCAGCATGAGCCGAGACAATCAGCCATCAGTCAGCTGATCGTTGATCCGATGAATCATGTGCGATTCTGTGCGATGCTTACAAGGGTCGCACAGTCGCACCCCAACATATTCGGCTGGTTTGAAGTGAGGTTTGCTTGAGGGCGTATTCTGTAAGTTCGAGAAGTTCTTCTAAAGGAAATTGCTGCAGGGTCCGGTCCGATCCGATGTCGTCAGGCAGGGATTCGACAGCAAATGGGTTCCAGATACAGTATACTATTTTAAAGAAACAGGTTATTTCTGTAGTGTGAACAAATGACACTCTAATTGAAATTGAAGTGAAGAATCGGTTACCAGATCTGACTGAATGACCTGAACTACGATCTCTACTTTATGTATACGCCGAATCCGCCTCTGCATGGGGTAGATTCCAGAGAAAATACTAATGCCCACAAGCAGGAGCATTCGGGAATGCCACCGAAGTAGCGTTCCCTTCCGCTTTTCGTCATTTGGAATTTCCGACCCGCTTTGCGGTACGCGCCGAGCGCACGTTGACTGTCCTGCTCGGACTTTCGATAACTAACGCCAGTATTTACTAACACAGATATTTCAGTAGCCTCCCGACAATCACACGGGCATCAACTAGGGGTCCGCGCAGGCAGCACGTCGAAAGACTAGGGGTCCCGACGGATTCCGTCTTTCCGTGGTTATCGTGTTTCGTCAGCATTCACAGCCTTTGCATCGCTAACGACTCGTCGCTGCCAGGATCGGCTGGAGACGAGCGTTGCACGTAAACGAGTAGCAAAAGCAAAACGCGTATGGGCATGGCGGACGCGGGGGCGCTGCGGGAGCAGGCGAAGCAGCTGATAGAGCGGCGCGACAATCTCGAGGCTCAGATCGACGCGCTCGCCGCGAGACTGAACGCGCCTGGAGGAGGCGGAACCAACGAGAGCCTGGTGGATAAGGAGGTAGGGCGTGTGTAGTATTTCTTTCGTGGCGAGATTTGAGTCGACTCAGAAGTTACGAGAGTGAACGCGCCTGGCGGAGTCGGAATAGCGAGAGTGATTCTTGCAGTGTAGCAGATTTTAAGAATGTATTGGTGTGGTTCCGGAGAATGTAGGGTGAGTAAGAGTGTTGAGGCATCGCAATTCTGGAGCCTGAGGAAGTAGAGGCGAAGAGGTGGTGGGTCGTGTGGAGTTCTCGAGGCTCAGCGTAGATCGAGGCTCGGATTGAGTTTCGCATTGAGGCTCGGATGGAGGCTCGGACCGAGGCGACTGGGACGAGGCTGACGAGGTGAGATGAGGGTGAGGCTGGTGGATAAGGAAAGTGGGATGCGAGGCTGGCTGGCAGGAGATGAGGAGAGGATGGTAGGGGCGAGCAAGAGGCGAGGTCTGCTCGAGCGAGCAAGATGCGAGGCGTAAAGTGGAGTATTTGGCTCCAGGGATGACGGGAATCTGTCGTTCTTTTAGAATCGTCAAACTACGGTGATGACACCACGGTGCCAGGCTTGATGGGGACCTACGTTGCAAAGAGAAGCGCAAACGTTTCTTTGCTCGCGGGGGCTAGTGTGTGTCTTGTTGCAACAGCAGACGCAGTGTGTGTGGATTTGCAGGAAGCATCGCCTGACTGTGTGAGACAGACACCATGAAACGGAACATGGTTACGTCTAATGTCTCTTCCGCCGCCTTTGCTCTCTCCCTCATCCCTCCTTCCTTTCAGGGCTTTCCGCGTGCAGACATCGACATTCCTCGAGTCCGCAGCGATCGACACCGCCTTGCAAGTAGGGCTCAGCTCATGCCACCACCACTGCCTCTCCCACTACCTTCCTCTCTCGCCCCTTCTTGCAAGTAGAGTTCATCAACCGCCATTGGAGTTCATTGGGTCACAGCTCTTGGGGTGGCCATGACTTTTTATTTTTGCTGTCAACACCTCATCTTCTGGCCTGTTTCCCCATGTATGTATCGTGCTAGCAGAAACATTTTTTAGGCTCTCTTAGTTGCCTGTTTTTCCCTGTGTTTGGCTGTGGATCATCCAATGCAATGCAACTCACACCATTCCTGCACCCACACTCCCTCGTGCTGCCGACCAATCGCAGCGCTCCACGCGGACCACAAGCAGCTGACGGGGCAGATTGAGTCGCTGTTGGTGGAGATCCACTCGCAGGCCAAACCCAGGGAGCAAAAACCAGCAAAGACAGAAGGAGCGAATTCCACACTTCCATCAGCAATTGCTACTGCACCTGCAGCTTCTCCTGCTGCCACTTCTACTTCAGCTGCTGCTCCCAATGCTGATGTTACTGCAGCAGCACTCCCTTCCTCCACGCCCTTCGCAGTGGTGGACGAGGTGACACCTGGCAGTCCAGCAGAGGTAGATGGCGTGAGGCTGGGAGACAGGCTGCTCCGATTTGGCTCCGTCGCCGCTGCGGCTGCTGGTGGCGGTGCTGCTGCTGCTGACGGTGCTCCTGCTGGTGAAGTAACAGAGGGAAGGGAAGGGGGAGGGGGAAGCAGGGTGGCTGGAGGAGGGGCAGAGCTGCTGAAGCAGGTGGCTGCAGAGCTGCAGGGGAGTGAAGGGAGAGGGGTGAGCATGACAGTGCTGAGGGCCGGGAATGTTGTCGAGCTGTTGGTGACTCCACGGCGATGGGGCGGACGAGGATTACTCGGGTATGTGTACCTGTTGGTTCATGCTCTGGTCTGGTGTGCCTGGTTGCACATATATTTTGTGGTCAGAGATTCCTTGAAGTATTGTTTTCCAATTTGGCCGTGCGTGTGTGTTTTTCACCCTTTCCCCATGTCCAGGTGCCACCTCTCTCCATTATCACATGCGAACTGATGTATGCTTTTGCTTCCAAGATCTGGATCTGCATCCAGTTTGATTTGCTTATTGTTGTGCCAAAGTCAACATACTTCGTTGTACCATGTTTAAGAGACAATCTTCTTGTTTAGGGATGTAACACTGTTATCGGAACGCGAGATGTCTCTTATCGAGTTGCTATTATCATTGTGGCATACCACGCCCAAAGGAATCGAATTTGCGCCCAACTCAACCGCGTGGAAACCGAACCAACCGAATTGCTCTATGTGCAATCTCCAACCAAACGTGCCTCACCGACCAATTCCGCTCCACGCGGCGGCCGCTTGCACCCATCACCAACGTGCTTGCCCAGTCGCACCACACCACCCACCACCCTCCTCCCCTCCAACCTAGTTCACTCACGGTTCAGCCATATTCGCTCTCTTTGCTCCTGCTGGAGCCTCCGTGCCCTTTTTAGGGTTCCTTCCCTCGCTCGCGAGGGTTCTCCCGCTCATTGAAAGCTTCTCGCGCACTCGATCTCCTTGAAGCGCCTTTGGTGTGCTGGATTCGTTGCTTGTGTCAGTGCACCGTCGAGCCGCTGTCCCGCGGGATCGTACTGGCCGTCTTCGCCGCCACCGCCGCCGTCGCCGTCGCCTGTCGCTGTCGTCGCAGTAATATCGTCTGAATCCCGCGAGTGGAGCAGAATGGCGGGTCCGGTGGTGAAGGAGGGAGCGCGGCTGTTCCAGGGCGTGGAGAAGGACTCGCTCGCCTTCAAGCTCATGAAGAACATGGTGCGTGCCGTGCGTGTTTCACGCTTTAATGGGATCTGATGCATGTCGAGGGGTGTGTTTTGGTGAGCTATGTGGTGCGTCGGATCTGCAAGGAGGAGGGAGCGCGGCTGTTCCAAGGCGTGGAGAAGGACTCGCTGGCGTTCAAGCTTATGAAGAACATGGTGCGTGCCGGTGTGTGTTTCGAGTGAGTGAGGGGCGCTGCGAGGGGCGTGTTGAGGGGCACCATGGCGCTTGAGGGGCGTTTTGTAACATCGTAAATACTTTAAGCATGCGTTTTGGGTGCTGCGAGGTACTGAGGGATGTGGTACGGTTCAAGCTCGTGAAGGACGTGGTGCTTGTGGAGTTCGAAGCTCGTAAGGGGTGCGGTGCGCCCTTCAGAATAGCGACGATTGCAGTGGGTTTCGCAGCGGGTTACGAAGTTGGTTACACAGTGGGTTCCGCAGCGGGTTTTGCAATGGGATTCGCAATGCGTTTTGCAGTGGATCTTGACATGAGGGCAATGGTTGCCGTGGCGTTTCGTCCATTCGTGCGTTCTTCGAGCTAACAAGCTCTCCCTGCATTACCACGATCCCCCCCCGTTCAGCACATTGTTCCGTGTCTTCACAAATGGCTCATCGCTCGCCGTTGATTTCGTCGCTGTGCTTCGATCGCAGGGCTGGGAGGAGGGCAAGGGGTTGGGGAAGAACGGGCAAGGCATCGCGACTCACGTGCGCGTGACGAAGAAGTTCGACACGGCAGGTACGCCAGTGGAGTGTGTTGAAGATTCTGTTTATAGACTTCGCAACACCACAGCCATGCGATGGGATCGAATTGACTTCTTTCCTCCTCTTTCTTCCATTCATCCTTCATCCGCTCCCGCCAGGCGTGGGGATCGCGGAGGCGAAGAAGGAGACGTGCAATTGGTCCGTCAACACCGCCGTCTTCGACGACCTTCTCAAGCGCCTCAACGTGGTAGGTCGCCGCCCCGCTCACCTGCATTTCGCCTGCATTTCGCCTACATTTCGCCCACATTTCGCCTGCATTTCGATTGAAGATCTAGGGTTTGCCTTTGGAGGGCGTAGGGCGACTCGTAACTGGTGTCACCGTGCTCGACGCCGTTCTTGCGCGACTCATCTTGGAGCGATTCAGTCGTCAGGGTTCACGGCTGATGGTTGGCTGTTGAGTCGACTCATCCTAGAGCGACTCATCTTAGAGCGATTCAGTCGTCAGGGTTCACGGCTGATGGTTGGTCGACCGGCCGAAATGTGCGCACGCACGCCTTTTTAAAAACCCGTTCGTTTGTGTGCAGTGATATCTTTCTTAGCTTGTTCACACAATGCAATGCTGTTCGTTAATATCGTGTTTGACGTTTATTTCCATCTCTCCTGTCCCATCCATCCGTTTTCCGCTCAATCTATTTCCCCTCGTAACCCTTTCTTCTCTTTCCACGTCCAGGCAGTCAACGACGGCAAGAGTCTTCAGCAGCAAGCATCTGACTCTTCCTCCTCCGACTCCTGTAAGATGTTCTGCTTTCAGGCTTCCAATATTCCCACTAGCTTTCATGCGTATTTGCGCCTGAAAAAGGGAGTGCAGCGCAATTGTTTTTTTGTTTGTTTGTTTGTTTTTTTTCGTTCTCTCACATCTCTCTCATCTTTTATCCCTTCGCTCTCTCTTTGTCCCGTCTCGCTTCCGTACCCCAGCTGATGACGAGTCCGATGAGAGCAGAAGCTCAGGGGATGGGGAGGGGGGGTTGAAGATGAAAAAGATGAAGAAGATGAAGAGCAAGAAAGAGAAGAAAGAGAAGAAGGAGAAAAAGGAGAAGCGGAAGCAGGCGGATGAGGAGACCGAGTTGCCGAAGCGGCAGAAGCTTGTGCGACCGCAGGGCCGGTGAGAGATGCAGTGGAATGGTGAAGTGGTATGGGTGGATGTTTGACGTGGGGGTGTCCTGATTGGACGATGCTTCCTCTGTTTTTTGAAAGTCATCATGCTGTTTTTGCATCCCTTTGTTTCGAGGCGTCCTGAAGACTGTAATTTTTTTCCGTTTTTGTCTCAAGCAGTCATCTATCCCTTTATTTTCTCTTCCCATCCTCTCGCAGGTATCATCGCAGGGAGGCAGGCAAGTGCGTCAAGTCCTACTCCACCAACGACCTCTCCGCCATTCTGGTAACCCTCTCTTTCAATTTCGTAACCCTTTTCGCCAGTCTGGCAACCTTAGCCATTTTGTTTAGCCTCTTTGCCATTTTGGTAACCCTCCTCGCCACTTTGGCTCTTCGCCGTTTTTGTACCAAATTTTCTAATCTTGTTATTTCGTTTCTCCCATTCCTCCCATTCCGCCACGTTCCGTCATCACACACAGGGTGCCGTCCCCACGTCGTCCTCCCCTGCGCCTCTCACTCCCCGCCTCGACCCCACCACCACTGCAACTCCCTCCTCTCTGCCCTTAAACCCTCCCACCTCTCCACCTGCTGCCAACGCGTCCTCTCCCTCAGTGGCAACAGCAGCAGGAGCTGAATCATCTACACCAGCAGCTGAATCATCTGCACCAGCAGCACGGCGGGCTCAGAAGCGGGTGGTAAAATCCGCTTCAGATACCGCTCTCTGTCGCAGCACCAGCAGCGCTGCAGGGTCGAAAAAGAAAGCTGCCGGAGCGGCTGGTTCGGGTGGACTGGCAGGTTCGGCCGAGCCTAAGAAGGGCGGGTTGTTGGAGTTGGAGTGCCAGAAGCAGTTCGTCTTTCCGCCGCTGCCTGCGGATTGGTGGGGCACGAGGTTTGGGTTTGTGCGCGGGTCAGGCTCGGGAGCCGGGCGACTGACAAACGAGGGAGGGGAGGAGGATGGGGAGAAGAAGGCGGGTTTCAGCGAGCAGGACCAGGAGAATCTCTACAACCTCGTGCATGTACGTAATGGTGGCAGGGATTCGGAAAGGTTTAAATGGTTGATGGTGGCTTCGAAGGGTTGAAGGCGGGTTTCAGCGAGCAGGACCAGGGGAACCTGTACAACCTCGTGCATGTAAGTCTTGATGCTGAGGGCTTTTGGGGGGTCTCCGGGGTTTCTGGATTTTTCATATGAATGGTTTGGCAGGGTTTTGGAGGTTTAGGGTGGGGGGGGGTGTTGGTTTGTGTGCGTGCATGCTTTGAAGGCTTGATGGTCTTTCATATGGCCATGGAGTTCAATCTGTCGTGCCACACCAGTAGCACATCTCGTTCCGTTTTTTTGTGGGGTTTGCAAGGAGAATCTTGTGATTACGCACGCTTCGAAGGCTTGATGGTCGTTCAAATGGCCATGGAGTTCAATCTGTCGTGCCACACCAGTGAGCACCGTCAAACCATGGTTCGGTTCGTCCCAGCCATGGCCGTGTGCATCCCGTGCTGCTGCTTCTGGCTCCGCCGCCGGTTTGCCATCCCATTGGTTGACCTGGCACGCATGCTGCATGGTACATATGACCGTACCTAACTTGATAACCACATTAAGAAGAGTGCGCAGAACTTCAATGCTCGCCTTGCAAGTGAGTTTTGGGAATCATTGTTGGTTTTAATTCGTTTCCATGATGTCTTCCTCCTGCGTCCCCGCCCCCTCTCAATCCCCACCACCACTCCAACTCTGTGCTTCATAGGATCATGCGACGAGCGGCAAGCAGGGGTTGGGAATTGGCGACCTGCCGCGGAAGGTGGCGGGGGCTCGATGGAAGGGCACCAAACAGACGTTCGAAGACTTAGAAGAGGTCAGCGAGGGGGAGGAGAATGAGGAGGATGGGAATGAGAGCGAGGAGGAGGAGGTGGAAGAGGCAAGGGGGGAAGAGGAGAACAGGGATGGTGCAGCAGCTGGTGCAGAAGGGGCGGTGTTGACAGAAACTGTTGCTGCTGCTGTGGATGAGGGTCGGGGTGATGGTGCTGGGTCAGCGGAGCAGGAAGGGGGAGAAGGGGGAGAGAAGGAAGGGAGGAGCAAGAAGCGGAAGAGAGAGGAGCGGTCGAGGAAAGACAAGGGCGGGAAGGCCGCTGCGGCGGGTGAAGTGGTACCGGGGGTTGCAGAGAGGCGGAGGGCGGTGATCGGAAAGAGATGGCAGCACAAAGAAAGGGATGTGAAGGAGGAGGCGAACGAGGAGGGGATTAGAGCAGAGAAGGGAAAGGAAGGAGAGGCAGGTGGCAGCAGGAAGAGGCTGAAGAAAAGCAGCAGCTCTGGTGTGGACCTGTCTGCCAGTGATGTGGCTGATGGCTCGAAGGGCGGTGTTGCGTTGAAGACTCGAGTGAAGCGTGCTGTCAAGCAAGCTCTGCAAAAGGTGCTAACATTTGCTGGTGTGTGGTGTGGGTGTGTGGGCGGGTGCGTGGGTGCGTGGGTGGGTTCGTGTGTAGTGCATGTGCGTGTGTGTGTAGGTGATCATGCATAAGTGCGTGTGTGCATGTGTGCATGTATGTGCAGCCAAGGTTTCCCCTCCCCACATTTCCCCTTCCCCAAAGCCCAAAAAAGTAACCCAATATGATCTCCTTCCATCTCTCCTCTCTGCCCCTACCCACACGACCAGGAGGGCGAGGCAGAGTGGCTTTAGCATCTCTGCGGGACACGGTGGGGCAGCACTTGGAGCTGACCAAAGCAGAGAGGAAGCAGCTCGTCAAGTTGCGACCTTCCCCCACTTGCCTCCAACAATGTGTCAATGCCCCATCCGTACCTCATGCCATCTGTCCTCGCTGTCCTTACCACACCAGCAGGAGGGAGAGGCAGGAGTGGCGTTGGCGTCTCTCCGGGACACGGTGGGGCAGCAGCTGGAGTTGAACAAGGCGGAGAGGAAGCAGCTTGTTAAGATCATGGACACCAAGGTGGGTGGTGAGGGGTTTAGTGTCATCATGGAAAGCAAGGTGAGTGTCATGGGGCTGCAATGCAAGATCATGCACACTATCAAAGGTTTGAATTGTGTTGCTGTCTCTTGCTAACCTTCCCTTGCTTCCATGGCAGTATCAGGTGTTCTTCTAATTGGGAATGACTTCTTTCTGCCTTGGTACAATGTGATGTGACACTTCTGAACACTTTCTCCGTTGTCTTTCTTCTATGTATGTGCAGTTGCCTGGATGGACATTTCTCAGTGTGACTGCTGGCATGGTGCAGCTACGAGCTTGAATGATACAAAAGTTACGGGTGATTGATGAATTTCTTTTGCGCATTGAAAACTAACCAGTTTAGCTTCTAGAGCGTGGACTGGTGTGAAGACCTGTCCCACTATGGGGAGGTTTGAAATATGGTATACTGCTGGCTAAGCTCTGCTGATGGGTTATTTCTCCCGCTTGAGAAATGGGTTACCTTGATTTGTAATCATGATACATTGCAGCTTCCACTTTAAGGACTCCTGAGATTTTTATACGTGGCTAGGAGGACGCATGTTGTTGGTCGGTTAGGAGAAGCTTGAGTTTGACAACGATTATTTTTGTGGACCTATTTTTGGTGTAAACTGCCCCACTTAGTTCTTTATTTGTTGGAGTTACCGCATCGGCTGCTGAAATGTAATGGATTTGCTGATGTCTTCTCAGCAGTCGAAGTGTACGGATCATACATGGTCACCCTCGAGGCTCGAGCTGTGCTTCGACATTATCGAGACTACCCCATACCCTCACCACCATCGCCTCTGAGTGGGTCGTAATGTTCAGTGATCGTTTAGCACGGTGCAATACGCTGAAGCACGGTTGAGAGCAATTCTCAATCTTTACCACTTTAGACCATTGCGCACCAGCCTGAACCTTCTCCCTCCCATCCCATTTCCATTTTATCCCTACCCAACACCCCATCAATTGCTCTTTGCAACTGAATCTGAGCTGAATTCCCACATTCCTCCGCGCTTGGCAAGGAATCAGCCATGGCGTCGCTCGCGCGCATCCTCTCCGCAGTAGTGTTCGCGGTGCTGACGATGGTGCAGGCCTTGGGGCTGCTGTTCATGATCTACTGGAAGCAGGAGCTCGCGTTCACGGCTCCGCCCGTCACTGAATCCGACGGCATTCTCGCGGAATTCAAGCGCGCATGCCTCGAAACCGAGAGTGCGTTTCTTGACAAGTGTGCCGTGCGTGTTGATACCACGCCCTATCTTCACGCCACGGATTTTTTCGAGATATTTATGTCGTGGATGCTGTATCGTACTTCGAATTGCAGTCTTCGTTCCTCGCCTCACCTCGCATTGCTCACACGGCAATCGAAACTTTCGCATTGCACATATCCGCATGTTTTTTCTTAACTTCATACTCACCGTCCGTTTGTCATATCCGTCGCATCGCGTCCATCTCCCCTCGTCCACGTCAGCAGGCGACTGCCCGGTTCTCGGCAAGGGATTCTTCTTTGGCCTCGCCACGGCGCCTGCACACGTGGAGGACCAGCTGGATGACGCGTGGCTGCGATTTGCTCGGCGCGGAAGCAACGAGAAGCACGACCGAGGGCCTGTCAGCTTCCTTTCCTTCTCTTCACCACCGCTGTTCTCCTATATTGCTATTCTTTTCGTTTCTCAGGGTGATTTTAGAGAGAGAGAGAGAGAGAGAGAGAGAGAGAGAGAGAGAGAGAGAGAGAGAGAGAGAGAGAGAGAGAGAGAGAGAGAGAGAGAGAGAGAGAGAGAGAGGACTTAGCACCCAGCCCTCTTCCTCTTCCCTCGGCCCTCTTCCTCTGAGCCTATTTAAGGGCCCTTGGTGCCTTCTTCTCCTCATTATTTCGTGTGTTCTCAGTTTTCCGCGGCTGGAGAGAGCGAGAGAGAGAGAGGACTTAGCACCCAGCCCTCTTCCTCTTCCCTCGGCCCTCTTCCTCTGAGCCTATTTAAGGGCCCTTGGTGCCTTCTTCTCCTCATTATTTCGTGTGTTCTCAGTTTTCCGCGGCTCGCGCCGGCGGCCTTCGGCCGCGCGTTTCTGGTGGCAAGACACAAAACGGAGGATCGGCTTATATAGGGCACACACACACACAAAGGCAAGGAGCTGGGCAGGAGCAAGAGGCGCGGCATGCAATTCTACACACGGCGGAGGCCTACATCGTGTACGGCTCCGCCCCCTCCACCTCAAGCATCGAGCGCATGCACGCCGACAACGCAAGAAGGAGATGCGCCGACGACTGGAGCGTGTCCAAGGGGGTCCCGGCTTGAGCAGCCCCTACAAGATCCCCCACGTGGCGGGGGAAAGTACGGGCTAAGGGAGCTACCCCGGCGGGCGCGTCCGACACGGGTGCCAACGGCGACTCGAGTGATTCTGCCAAAGTCACGCAGGATCCTCGGGTCCCTGGACCAAAACTGCTCGGAAAGCTCCTCGTGGCCCCACACACCGCCAGCTGCAAGTTCGCCACCACCTCGCACGCCTCCGCCAGATTCAGAACCCGGCACATGGTCAGCATGGGGTCTCTCCCCGCGCGAGTGGGGAGAGGTGCAGTCTGCGCTTCGCGCGGAAACGCCGCCGGCCAGCCAGGAGTCCGGCCAACAGCCAAGCGCGGCGCAGAGAAGCCGGGAACCTGACGGGGGGTGCGGAACTGAGCCCTCCCCTCACGCACGGGCTGATACTCGCGCAGCGTCGGCGCACGCAGAGGAGCGACCTGGCCTGGGTCCGCGGCGAAGGGGGGACCGTTGGTCACCTCAATATGGACGTGAGTCGGCGCCCCACTCGCCCGGGCCTGCCTCACCACCTCCACGAACGTGTCCGCAGCATGATCGAGGGCTGGATCAGGCTGGTTGCCATTCCCGCCTCGCCCTCCGCCCTTCCGCCAGCCCCGCCGTCCCCCGGAACCAGCCGAATGTGGACGCGGGGGGGACTGCTCGCGGCGACCCGAATCCCAGCGACGACCAGGCGACCCCCTCCCCCGCGTCGCCGGAGATCGCCGAGGAGAACGTTGCGCGGGGGATCGCGCTCGCGGTGAGCGCTGGCCTGCCTGACCACGAGGGGATGGGCGGCGAGGGGAGCGAGGACGTGCAGGAGAACGCTTACCCCCCTCCCCGCGCTGATAGTGCTCGCGACGCTCAGGAGAAGGGCGGCGAGGAGAGGGCGGCTGTTGAGGGTGCCGCAAAGGCGAGCACCCGCGCTCCTGCCGCGGCTGACCGTCCGGGCGGTTCGACGCAACACGAGCAGGCGCCCACGAATACTCCGGCGAGGCGGGGCGCGCGGCAGGACGATGGGGAAGCGTTTGAACCCGCTCGAAGTGGTGCACGGGCTCGCTCGCGGAGGGGTGCGCAGGGAGACGCGGACGAGGCCCGGCAGGCGCAGGCTGCGGTAGCGAGCTCTCCGCGGAACCCTCCAGCTCCGGATCCCGTCTCACGGATGGGTCCATCACCCCCGATCTTACCGCAGCCGACGCCAGTGCGGCGACGAAGCGAAAACGAGACGGCCGCGGCGCCGCAGACATGGCGCGAGGGAGGTGCTGTGGGACGAGCAACGCGGGGAATCCGCGTAGGACGCGGCAGCCGCCAGGATGGAAACTACTGACCTTTCTCCCGCGCATACTCCTTCGCACCTCGTCAGCCCGTAAACCTGACTGGAGCGCGATGATGAATCGGCTCCTACGATTTCGCCAAGGGCTCTGGGCGGACCTATACGAAGAAGCTGTCCAGGCGATTTCCTTGCCTCTGCAGCCTCGCCACTCACTCGACACAACTGGAATACTGGCACGGGCGGAAGGTCTGGCAAAACAGGGTAACCTGTCAAAATCACTCCAATCCCTCCAGGCCACCCTTGTGTCACCTGCCTCACCTGAAGTGCTGGAAGCCCTCGCGACGAGACATCCACCTGCCAGCCAGCTTCTCCCTGACTGGCTCCACACCGCCTCGGCTGAAGACCCACCCACTATCGAAGCCCGCGACTTCAGGCGCCTCCTCGCCAAGCTCCCCAACGGAGTCGGGGCCGGCCCCTCAGGAACCACTTTCGAGCATATCCGCGACGCAGCCCTAGGGAATGCCGAAGTACTCTCCCACCTCCTCGCCCTCTCCAACACAGCTCTAGCAGGGAAACTCCCAACAGCCGCGGGGGATCTTCTCACGGCCTCCCGCCTGCTAGCCTTTACGAAACCCCAAGGAGGGACGCGGCCAATAGCGGTGGGGGAGTGTCTCCTCCGGATTATAGCAAAGGCCGCCCTCTTCCTGACCGCGCCAGCCGCCCGTACTCACTTTGCCCCCCTTCAATTCGGCGTGGCAGTAGCAGGGGGGATCGAAGCGGCTATCCACACCGCTCGCACGTACCTGGAAGTGCACCCTGCTGCAGTGGCCTTGCAGATCGACCTCGCGAACGCTTTTAACGCGGTCGAAAGGAGAGCGGTGTTCGAAGGACTGAGAAACGAGGCGCTGAAGAAGCTGATCCTCCTCGTCCGCCTATCCTACGGGGCTCCCTCCTCGCTCTACCTCGACCACGACTTCGGCGCAGCCCCGCTGCAGAGCGCCAGAGGAGTTCGCCAAGGGGACCCGCTCGGCCCCCTCCTGTTCGCGGCAAGCATCCACCCGTGCCTCATTGCCACGGCGGCGGCACACCCTCAGGTGGTCCTGCTGGCGTACGCCGATGACATCACGCTGCTCGGCGACGCCTCGGCCTGCACAGCAGCTTTCGACCACCTCACATCCGCACTTGCCGCCCTCGGCCTGGTACACAACCCGGCCAAATGCGCGGCGTGGTCCGCCGCTCCAATTGACCCCTCTGCAGTGCCCCCGGGAATTACTATCTCTGATGAGGGACTGCAGATTCTCGGCAGCCCGGTTGGCACACCCCGGGGGTGCGCGGGCGCCGTGAGAGAGAGATTGGCAGTAGCAGCATCCCCACTCCCCCTGCTGGCCCAGATGGACCCCCAGCTTAGCCTCCTCCTCCTCACCCGCTGTGTCAGCCGCCGAGCCTCTTTTCTGGCCAGAACCACCCCCCTGGAAGCTCTCCCTGAAGCGGAATGGTCAGCTTGGGGGGAGCAGCTCCTACACACCTTCCTGGACTCGGCCCACATCATGAGACCGAGGAGTGCCCGGGAGAGGCGGAGGATTTGGCGGCAGGCGGCCCTGCCCGTGACTCTGGGAGGCCTGGGCATCACTGACCCCGCCGTTGAAGGCAGCTACGCTTACCTCGCTTCAGTGATCAGCGCCGCCCACCTTCTATACTCCCTGGAGGAGTCGTTACACCCTGCTGTCGCCGCGCTCCTCCCCCTACTGGACCCTACCCACGGCTCCCCGCACGCGCTGCCTGCACGCCTCGCCGCGGCTGAGGCAGCTCTCCCACCTGAGGCTCTCGAGGTGCTCCAGGCCGGGAAGACAGACCCCAAGGGACTGAAGCTGCAGCAGAGCCTAGCGCTGGCGGTTCACTCCCGCCGCTTCTTGAGGGCCATGCGCGAGGCAAGGCGGATGCGCCCCAACCCCCTTTCAGGCCATGCGCAACGGATGCAGTCGGTGCTAGGCCCAGGAGCGGGGGATTGGCTGCTGGCGATCCCGCTCATCCCCTCGCTCCGAATGGGCCCCTCCCAGCTCTCAACTGCAGCTGCCTTCCGCCTAGGCCTCCCCCTCCCAGTGCCTAGACGCTGTGACTGCCGCTACCGCACCACCTTCCCCGACGACCGCCTCCCCAACCACCTCATGCGCTGCGAGAAGGGGAAAGGGAGGACCGCTACCCATCACGCTCTGCGGGATGAGATAGCAAATATCGGGGCTGAGGCGGGTTTTACGGTTCATAAGGAGACGTATGTCTACTCACTGGTTGAAAACCTAAAGGCGGATGTCACCATCCGCCATCCACTGACCGGGGAGGTTTGGATGTGCGACGTGACCGTGACGGACCCGATGTCATACCAGGACGAGAACTGCAACCGAGCTCCTGGTTGGGCAGCTAGGGCGGCAGCGGCAAAAAAGGAGGAGAAGTACACACGGCGGAACACGTGGGTGGGGTTCCACGCGCTCGCAGTGGAAACATACGGCTACCCCTCGCCGGGGGTGCTGGCTTACCTGCGGCAATGCGCGGAGCTGGCGGCAAAGCTGCGGTTTAACGCAGCCCCTACCTCCTACGAAGCAGCGAAGCTTCTGACGGAGTACCGCCAGCGTTGGAGCGTGTGCCTCCAGCGGGCACAGGCCAACGCCCTCCGCACCAAGACCAATGAGGCCTTGGCGGCGGACGAGCTCGGTTTTAGAGGACCCATCATCCCTCTCAGTGAGGGACAGCTGCACCAGTTGATTGAGGCCCCGTTCGACCAGTAGGGTCGGACAGGGGGGGGGGCAGAGTAGGTAGGGGACTTGGAATAGTTAGGATGCCGGTTTTCTGTTGAGCTTGTGCTTGTGTGTTTTGCACCTTCCGTTGTACCACCCCCCAAAGAAATGCAAGGACCATTCAAGAGAGAGAGAGAGAGAGAGAGAGAGAGAGAGAGAGAGAGAGAGAGAGAGAGAGAGAGAGAGAGAGAGAGAGAGAGAGAGAGAGAGAAAAAAAAACAGCCCGACCGAGGCCCTGGCAGATTCCTTTTCTTCTCTTTGCCACATCCGTTCTTATACCTCGTTCCAAATTTCTCCTAGCCGCTAGTTACTTCCTCTTCTTGATTCGTGCCCGCCTTTATTCTCTTCAACTGCCTCCCTCGTTGCCTCTATACGAACCCTATACCCTTGTGTTCCTTATCACATGGTCCTACTTTCCCCACACAAGCCCTAAGCATGCATTCGCACACGCAATGAGAAGCATCCACTATTACACTTATATAAAGAACAACTGTACGCAAGGATGCTACATTGCGAGCATGCTTCATGTGCCTGCTGACCCACCTCTCAACCAATGCAGGTTCGGGCGTGGCACAACGTGCCCAAGGCTGAGCAGCGGCTTCGGTTCTGGACCGAGCCTGAGGTGGAGGTGGACCTGGCGGCGCAAGCAGGCGTGGAGGCCTTCCGCATGGGCGTTGACTGGGGGAGGATTGTTCTGCGCGAGCCACAGGGAGGCAAGATGGAGGTGAGGGGGGTGGAGGTGAGGGGTTGGATGGAGGTGAGGGGGTGGAGGTGAGGGGTTGGATGGAGGTGAGGGGGGTGGAGGCTAGGGCATAAGGGACATCTTATTAGGCTTTCCGTATGGGCGCCGACTTGGGGAGGACTGCTCTGCGGGATTGCTTCTCCCTCCTCTCCTCTCCTCTCCTCTCCTCTCCTCTCCTCTCTTATTAGGCCGTCTCCCATCGCTTGTCCCTCCTCTCTCTCTCCTTTCTCCCTCTCCCTCTTCTCCACGGCAGCTCGACCAAGCAGCAGTGGCGCGCTACAAGGAGATCGTGGCGCTGGTGCGGCCGAGAGGCATTTGATGCGCCCACAAACCCTCTTAAACCCTCCCTGTCTTGCTAGTGTCTCCCCTTCCCGCTTGTCTTCAACTCCACGCCACAACAGATCGTCCAAGCAGGAGTGGCGCGCTACAAGAACATCATGGCGCTGGTGCGGGCGAGAGGGATTGAGATACCCTCAAATTCTTTTTCCCCTTCTCCCTTCTTGCTCATGTCTCCTCTCTCCCTGCTTCTCCCTCACCCGTCACCCCACATGTCAACAGATCGACCACACAGCAGCGGCGCGCTACAAGAAAGTAATGGCGCTGGTTCGGGCGAGGGGCATTTGAGACGGCCGCAAACCTTTGTCTCCCTTCTCCTGCATTCCAACAGATCGACCAAGCAGCAGTGACGCGCAACAAGGAGATAATGGCGCTGGTGCAAGCGAGGGGCATTTGATGCGCCTACAAACCCTTTTGAACCCTCCCTGTCTTGCTAATGTCTCCCCTTTTCTCTTGTCTCTCACCCCACGGCAGATCGACCACGCGGCAGTGGCGCGCTACAAGGAGATCATGGCGCTGGTGCGGGCGAGGGGCATGCGCGTGATGCTGACGCTCTTCCACCACTCGCTGCCCTCCTGGGCCGAGCCCATTGGCGGCTGGACTAATGCATCTCTCATTAACCACTTTGACTCCTGGACCCTGTGAGTGCGGTGGAGTGCGGTGGAGGGTGGTGGAGGGGCAGTCAAGTGCAAGGGGCATGCGTGTGATGCTGACGCTCTTCCACCACTCGCTGCCCTCCTGGGCCGAGCCCATTGGCGGCTGGACTAATGCATCTCTCATTAACCACTTTGACTCCTGGACCCTGTGAGTGCGGTGGAGTGCGGTGGAGTGCGGTGGAGGGTGGTGGAGGGGCAGTCAAGTGCAAGGGGCATGCATGTGATGCTGACGCTCTTCCACCACTCGCTGCCCTCCTGGGCCGAGCCCATTGGCGGCTGGACTAATGCATCTCTCATTAACCACTTTGACTCCTGGACCCTGTGAGTGCGGTGGAGTGCGGTGGAGGGTGGTGGAGGAGCAGTCAAGTGAAAGGGGCATGCGTGTGATGCTGACGCTCTTCCACCACCTGCTGCCCTCCTGGGCCGAGCCCATTGGCGGCTGGACCAACGCCTCCCTTGTTGGCCACTTCGACTCCTGGACCCAGTGAGTGTGGTGGAGGATGGTGGAGGGGCAAGTGAGTGCGGTGGAAGGGCACGTGAGTGCAGTGTAGGAGCAAGTGGGCTGCGGCTTACAGACAGAATCCACCATGCTTTTGGCTGCTACTCACTCCTCCCCTCTCGTCGCCTACCGTTTTTTCTGCAAAGCCGACTGTTAGGCGTGAAGTACCTCTCTTTCAGCAAGGTTCCTCACCCGCACTCTTCCCTTCCCTTCCCCACCACACCCTTCCCAGGCTGGCAGTGCGGGAGTTCGGCCCGTCGGTGGACTACTGGGTGACGTTCCGCACTTGTTTCTCACCCTCACCCCCATTCTTTCCTTGTCCCTCTCCTTTGTACGCTCTTCCCAGGCTGGCAGTGCGGGAGTTCGGCCCCCTCGTGGACTACTGGGTGACGTCCAACGAGCCGCACCTAATTGTCATCCTCACCTACTGCATGGGCGTGTGGCCGCCCGGCAAGGCGCGCACCTTTGAGACGTCTCAAAAGTCGCCCACCTTTGAGACGTCTCAAAGCTCACCTACTGCATGGGCGTGTGGCCGCCCGGCAAGGCGCGCACCTTTGAGACGTCTCAAAAGTCGCCCACCTTTGAGACGTCTCAAAGCTCACCTACTGCATGGGCGTGTGGCCGCCCGGCAAGGCGCCCACCCCCTCGCCCATACTCTTCCCGTGCCCCATTCCCCACCAACCCACCCCACCCTCACCCCCTCCTTCACGCCCTCACACCCTCCTTCACGCCCTTCTCAGGCTGGCAGTGCGCGAGTTTGGCCCCCTTGTGGACTACTGGGTGACGTTCAACGAGCCGCACCTGTTTGTCATTCTCACCTACTGCATGGGCGTGTGGCCGCCCGGCAAGGCCCCCTCGCTGCTGCAATCGGCACTCTGCATGTCGCCCGTGGGGCAGTACAGCCAAGCCATGCAACACATCGGGGAGGCTCACATTGCTGCCTTCAAGACCATCAAGAAGGGGTAAGGACACTTGGAAGGGATAGCCATGAGGCAGCAGTGAGGGGGGGCTCACATTGGAAAGGGCCCCCCTCGCTGCTGCAGCCGGTTGGCGCTCTGCATGTCATCCGTGGGGCAGTATAGCCAGGCCATGCGCCACATTGGGGAGGCTCACATTGCTGCTTTCAAAATCATCAAGAAAGGGTGATTAGGATCCCTTGGGAAACGCTAGGGGACCGCTGAAAGAAGCATGCAAGTAACCTGTCAAGGCTGCTGCAGCTGGGGCAGCAAAGCCACGCCATGCACCACATTGGAGACACGCACATTGCCGCAAAAGGCAATTATAGGGCGCAAGTAGGACCCAATTGGAGTAGGGCCGGGTCGCTCGGGAAAGGGCAGGGCATGGCAGTGGCTATGGCTCATGCCACAGGCACTGCCATGCCACAGGCACTGCCATGCCACAGGCACTGCCATGCCACAGGCACTGCCATGCCACAGGCACTGCCATGCCACAGGCACTGCCATGCCACAGGCACTGCCATGCCACAGGCACTGCCATGCCACAGGCACTGCCATGCCACAGGCACTGCCATGCCACAGGCAATGCCATACCACAGGCGCCATGCCACAGGCACTGCCATGCCACAGGCACTGTCATGCCACAGGTACTGCCATGCCACAGGCACTGCCATGCCACAGGCACTGCCATACCACAGGCACTGCCATGCCACAGGCTCTGTCATGCCACAGGCACTGCCATGCCACAGGTACTGCCATGCCACAGGCACCACCACGCCATAGCCACAGCCACTGGTGACTTGGAGTCGACTCAATGTTCGCCTCATGGTGCCTGTGGCTATGGCGTGGTTGTGCCCTCACTCCCACCTCTTGTCCCCTCTTGCCCCCATGTGTCCCATCGTGCCTTCCCCCCCCCGCATCCTCCCCTCTATCCCCTCTCCTTCCACTCCTCGTCCCCAGGAGCACAGCGCCAGTGGGCGTGGCAGCCAACACGGCGTTCATGACGTGGTGGTGCCGCTCTACATCGACTGGATGACGCTCTTCCCCTCACTGCACCTCACTGCACCCCCATTTGCCCTCCATTTGCCCTCCATTTGCCCCATCCCTTGCCCCAGGAGCACGGCACCAGTGGGAGTGGCGGCCAACACGGCGTTCATGACACCATACAGCGCTCTGGACGTGGTGGTGCCACTGTACATCGACTGGATGACACTCTTCCCCTGGGTCGACCACATCCAGCACCACCTTGACTTCTGCGGCCTCAACTACTACGGCCAGGTCAGCAGATGGTTCGGCCAGGTCAGCAGATAGTACTGCCAGGTCAGCAGCTTGTAGTACTGCCAGGCCAGCACCTCGTAGTACTGCCAGGTCAGCACCTCTTAGTACTGCAAGGTCAGCAGCTTGTAATACTACCAGGTCAGCAGCTTGTAGTGCTGCCAGGTCAGCAGCTTGTAGTGCTGCCAGGTCAGCAGCTCATACGCCGAGGTCAGCAGCTCGTACAGCCAGGTCAGCAGTTGCCAAAGCAGGCCGGGCAGTCTACCCGGACGGCTTCTAACGCATCCTCATGCCCTTTTCCACCGCGTGCACTCTTCCCCCTGCCCCACCCGTCCCCGCTCCCCTCCCCTCCCCACGCCCCCCTCCCCTCCTACCCAACCTCCCAGGAGTTCATGTCGACAGCAGGCTTGCAGAGTTTGGACGAGGAGGAGTTCTCTGAAACCGGTATGGCCGTCTATCCCGTCGGATTCTACTGCATCGCATCCTCATGGCCTTCCACCGCCTGTGCTTTTCCCCCTGCCCCCCCTGCGCCCCTTGCCCCCTGCCGCCCTCCTTCTGCTCCCCTCCTCACAGGAGTTCATGTCAACAGCGGGTCTGCAGAGTGTAGAGGAGGAGGAGTTCTGAGAAGCAGGTCGGGCGGTGCACCTTGATGGCTTCTACCGAATCCTCCTGGCCTTCCACCGCCGCTACTCGCCCCCTTAACCCCCTGTCTCCTTGCCCCTTCCCCTCCTACCCCTCTCTCAGGAGTTCATGTCAGCAGCGGGCTTGCAGAGTGTGGACGAGGAGGAATCTTCCGAAGCAGGCCGAGCCGTCTACCCCGACGGATTCTACCGCATCCTCATCGCCTTCATTGCCGCTACTCGCTTCGCCTTTCCACCCCCTCCTCTCCTGCCTCTATCCCCCTCTCCCTTCTCCCAGGAGTTCATGTCAACAGCAGGATTACAGAGTGTGGATGAGGAGGAGCTCTGCAGGCCGGGCAGTCTACCCCGATGGCTTCTACCGCATCCTCATGGCCTTACCCCGCTACTACACCCCCTTGCCCCCCTTCCCTCCCCCACCCGCCTCTCACAGGAGTTCATGTCAACAGCAGGCCTGCAGAGCGTAGAGGAGGAGGAGTTCTCCGAAGCAGGCAGGGCAGTCTACCCCGACGGCTTCTACCGCATCCTCATGGCTTTCCACCGCCGCTACTCGCCGCACCACCCCAAGCTGCGCTTCATTGTCACTGAGAATGGCTTTGCTGACACTGAGGACAACATTCGCCGCCCGTATCTGATTGAGCACCTGCTGGCACTGAATGCGGCTATCAAGGAGGTGGGCGGCAGAGAAGGTTGCATTGTGTTAATCGGTTACTGGTCTGAGTTGACTAGAAAAGGCACATACACGCCCCTTCCTGCACGTACCCTCCTCTTTTGGATCACCCTTTCCTCTCCCAACTCACACCCATTCACTCCCTCGCTTCATTCAACATCTCTTCAACTCACCCCACTCACTCCCTCGCTTCATTCAACATCTCTACAACTCACCCCATTCACTCCCTCGCTTCATTCAACATCTCTACAACTCACCCCATTCACTCCCTCGCTTCATTCAACATCTCTACAACTCACCCCATTCACTCCCTCGCTTCATTCAACATCTCTACAACTCACCCCATTCACTCCCTCGCTTCATTCAACATCTCTACAACTCACCCCACTCACTCCTCTCTACCATCACCACTCACTCCTCTCTACCATCACCACTCACTCCTCTCTACCATCACCACCCACCTCTCCCCGTTCCTACCAAGGCATGCCCATAGACGCGTATTTCCACTGGACCATCAGCGACAACTGGGAGTGGGCGGACGAGTCTGCAATGTTCCTTTCATCACATGACCCCACACTCACCCCCCACTCATTCATCTCCACCTTCACCCCCCTCCCCTCTCCCCCCCATTCCCAGGGCATGCCCATAGATGCGTATTTCCACTGGACCATCAGCGACAACTGGGAGTGGGCGGACGAGTCTGCAATGTTCCTTTCATCACATGACCCCACACTCACCCCCCACTCATTCATCTCCACCTTCACCCTCCTCCCCTCTCCCCCCCATTCCCAGGGCATGCCCATAGATGCGTATTTCCACTGGACCATCAGCGACAACTGGGAGTGGGCGGACGGCTATTGCCCCAAGTTTGGCCTGGCAGGCGTTGACAGGGCGTCCCCAAACCTCACGCGCGTGCTGCGCCCCTCCTACGGGCTCTTCAAGGAGGTGAGTAGGGTTTTTCCAGTAGCAATCTAGCTTTAATCTCACCCGTGCGGCTTTCCGCAGCCTCACACGCGTGCTGCGTCCCTCGTCCGGGCTCTTTAAGGAGGTGAGAGGGGCTCTGAGACGTGTCCAAATCAAATTTCCATACACCCTCCAACAAATATGGGGCGTGTCGGAATCAGGCTTTAAGCACACCCACAGACCCACCAAACCAATTCCACTCCCAACACACCCCCACCCCGCTCCCCTCCTACCCCCACCTCGGCCCTTCCCACTAGATCGTGGAGTCACGGCGTGTGACGGTGCAGCAGCGGGAGGAGGAGTGGGGGCAGCTGCAGCAGCGGGCGCAGCGGGGCGAGCAGCGCTCCTACTGCCGCGCTGTTGAGCCCTCTGGTCGCATGGGCGCTGGTGAGCGTGGGGGGGGTGCATGCATGTTGGTGTTTGGATGTATGGTGGGGCGCGTCGTGAGATGGATGGTGGCATGGTGGCATGTGTTGTGGGATGGTGGCATGGTGGCAAGTGTTGTGGCATGCATGTTGGTGAATGGACAAGAACCCTGTGGCAGCATGGCTGCTGGTGAGCGCTGTGGTGGTGGTGCGGCATGTCTGGTGCGATCTGTCAATGATGGAATGCATGAATGCATGGTCAGAGGCATGATGGGATACATGGTGGGATGCATGTTGACATCTGTGATCGATGGCAGTTGAAATCTCTCTGTGGCTGCATGCGTGCTGCCGTGCATGGTGGTGAATGGGATAGTGCCAAGCGAAGCAGCTCACTTGCACATGTCTCCTCGCCTACTATCACCACTCCTCTTTCCTCGCTCCCCCCATCCAGCAGACTCCCTTGACTCGCCCACAACACGGGTCATGGCCACCAAGGACTGGCGCTGTGGCGAGTAGGCGCCCCAAGGCTGCTGTGGCAATGCTTTTCTTAGTCAACTCAATATTTCTTCCCTCCCTCTCGCCAGCTCATCTGCTGCCCTCTCCTCTTGCCCCCCTCCCCCACCTGCCTTACAGACTCCCTTGACTCACCCACAACACGCATCATGGCCACCACGGACTGGCGCTATGGCGAGTACAGGCACCCCAAGGCCGCCGTGATGGTGACTTTTGGGTCAACTCAAGATTTCTCCCCTCCCTCACCTCTCATCTACTACTCTCTCTCTCCCCCTTGACTTTTGGGTCAACTCCCTTGACTCAATCACAACACGGGTGATAGCCACCAAAGATGGCGAGTACAGACGCCCCAAGGCCGTCTCAGTCGACCAAAGATTCATCCTCTTCCTCTCACCCGCTCATCTACTACCATCTGCTTCCCTCCCTCCCCCCCCCGCTCCTCCAGACTCCCTTGACTCACCCACAACGCGAGTCGTTGCCACAAAGGACTGGCGCTATGGCGAGTACAGGCGCCCCAAGGCCGCTGTGATGGTGAAACGTACGGCAAGGATTTTCCGCATCTGGCTGGAGGACCTGCTGCTTGCCGCCCAGCAGGCTGCAGATGCTGCCAACTCCCTCCTGTGCCGCCTCATGCACGGCCCTCACCACCAGCAGCACCAGCACCACCAGCACCAGCAGCAGCAGCAGCATCAGCACCAGAAGAACCAGCAGCAGCAACAGCAGCAGCAGGCTGTGGAGCAGCAGCATGCATGGGAGGAGGTGGAAGCAGACATTGAGATACCACCGGTAGTTGCTGCTGCTGCTGCTGCTGCTGCTGGTGCTGGTGTGGGTGCTGCTTCAGCAGACAAGGATGAGCTGTAGAAGGAGTATCCGCAGCAGAACCTGTTTGATTGCTGTGCTGCTGCTTCATGTGGCAGGGCAGGCTTGTATGCCGAAATATTGGCTGGAATTTGAGACGTCTCAGAATAAGTCTGTGAGCCAAATATGTATGGGGGACCTGCTAAGGGGGCTGGATGGCAAGTTTGCTATATGGGAATGTGATACCTGTAGGTGCACACCAAAACGAATGTGATGGGTTGCTGAAGCCTCTAGTGTTTTCCAGTATTCTATCCCCTCGTACTAGAGTCCTGATTATGGTGTTACCTTTAGGCCCTCACTCGCAACCAGAACCACTTTTTACCGTGTAGAAACTCACTGTGCCCCGACAGCTTCGATTTCCTCTTCACATTTTCTCCTGATCTGATTCCCACCATTCTGCTTCCTGAAGCCATGGCTTGGCTTGAGGAACGATCGACTTATGAGGGAGCTTTATGAACACGTCACACGTCCATTACAGCTTTCTCAGATTAACCAATTGTAGCTCGCCTCTTTGTTCGCCTAGAGCTGCTATTATTGCGCTGCGGCCAATAACAGGCCAGAGTTGAGAACTTTCTATGAGTTGGCAAGAATGACGACTTATCACGTCGAGTCGACGGCAAAGCCATTCCGAGATACGCGCTCGGCTGTCTTATTGATGGGCGGATGCGCCTCAATTCACTTCCGAGTTTAGACTTGAATCTTCTATCATCCCGTCCGTCAATCTCCACCTTCAGCCGTACCACGGGGCCTTTATGGTCTTTCCGTTCCCGAGCCTCAACGTGACTATATATGAGGGTAATCCCAGCCCCTAGAAATCCATTCAGTTTTGCCTTCCATTTACCTTATACTAGAAGTAGTAACTTGCTCCCTTGTGCAAACCAAATTCAAGTAACTCATGGCCTTCATTCGTGCTCGCTGCGTCTTACTATTTGGTAAGCGTTACCCCTGGCGTGAGTCCGCGGCACCAACGCCAGCTCACTACAAAACTCATTCGTTGCCAGCTGTCAACCAGGCTTCGTAACCCGATCTCTGATTTTGCCTCTCGTCGTGTGTGTGCTTCGCGCAGCGTTCCTTGCGGCGACTCTTGGGGCGACTGCCTGCGCCGCAAGGAAATCTCATCGCGGAAAAGGCAGGTGCACATTTTTCCGGTGCGTGGGTTTTTCTACGAAAAAACATACAAAAAGTCCCAGCGAGTACACAAAACATCCCAAAACAGATGTGACGCAAATGTTGGCCCTTCCCCACGGGTTTAAAACGGCCCTCCTCATTTCGCGCCGCACATTTGGTTTCACGAGTCGCACCTTGCCTCGGATCGCACATTTGGCGTTCCCGTGTCAATGTACACTGCCACCGCAGCGACGTCATCATCGATGTACACCGAAGCCCTTCCTTACTACATGTTCGCGAATGTAGTAAAGCCATCAGGGTACACCTATTGGGCACTTGTAGGGTTGATAGTTGGGCTGCAACATCCAGCACTACACTGTCGCCACAAAATTCAACAACATCGAAGCGGCCCACCCCATTTGTCAGCTGTATGAGCGTCAATTGCGTCCTGATCAGTGGCCATGAACACAACATATCATCAATCCTCATCAAAGATACCCCACCCCTCTCACTCCGTCAGCAGGAACCTGTTCAAGAGCATGACGTGCTTGTTCACATATGACTTGCACATGTGCACCACCCTCTGGATGCACTCCACCTCCACCACCGCATATCTTGTTCTCACACGTCCGGGAGACAGCTGCAGGCAGGTCGTCATTGGGCACGTGCCCTCCGCCTCGTAGTACTTCACGTACATGTGCCGCCCCATGGCGCCATCCGCGCCGGTTGCGCGGAAGATGCAGAGGCACCTTGCGTACCACTCCTCCTCGTCGGGGTTGAGCACTGCGATGTCAGAAAACCACCTCTCAGATGGGCTGGCCTTCACAAATGTGCTTTTGGGCACAAGCTCACCCCCTCGCGTTCGGGGGATCGCCACGGCGGTATGCACCTGCGTACGCCGGTCAACAGAGACGGAAGAGAGTGGATGCGTTATGGACTCTATACAGAGCTTAGGTCCTACCATCACACACGCAATCCCCGCGTTGCATCTACCATCACCCAGCCATCCAATGACCAACGTCATGCACCACCTCAATGTTCATGGTGGGAATGCCTGCCGCCCTCATGCACCCGGCGAGTGCGTCCATGTCGGACCCATGAGCCTCGCGATACGCCCACATCACCGCGTCCAGGTCTTCGTCAGCACGGGCTTCAGTGTTCGCACGGCTTGTGTGCACACAAAGACATGCACGCATCCAGTGAGGACCCGTTGTCACCACACGCTCTTTTCATCAGCACATTGTATTCCCGTTCCACACCCCTCGCCCTCACCTCGCGCAGCGCCATCACATACTGCCTGTTCCCGCCAGCGTCCGCCGCCACCTCCCGTGCAATCTCGCGCTGCACCTCCTCCTCGACAATACGGTGGGGGATATCATGCCAGTTGCTGCCGCGGACCGGCACCTTCACGGTGCCCTTGTGTGTGTGCTCCCAAAGGTTGGTGGAGGTCTCGTGCGGCATACGACGCAGTGGTATGCCGTCGATCAGGTGCACGATCTAGTGCATGTTTGGGATGTTCCAGTTTGATGTCTGGTGAGGGAATGCGGCCTTGATGGCTTCCACCATCCTGCATGTGCACATGGGAATCATGGTCAGGCTGGAAAGACCATTTATGTCCATCATCAATACCATGCCCCACTACAAGGCCGTGTACGGCCTTGTAGTGCCGCCCTCAACGCAGCAATAACGGGGAGGGTACGTACTGCACTGCCCTCTCTCTAACGTCGTCAAGTGACTCGTTAGTATGCTTTGTCACGCCCACCAACGCCTTGTAGAAGCTGGCGTACGCCACAAACGCGGCGACCTCCCGTTTCCGTTTCAGCTTCGCCGGCGGCTTGCTCTTCTCCATGTTGTCTGCGATCAGCAGGGGCATCACCTTCATCCCCCTGTGCTCGAATGCGGCGTAGTTCGCCCCTGTGCTGAACCAAGTGGTCCCCCCCGGGATGCGCACCACACTTGCGCGTGTGTCCTTCTTTTGCTCTTTGCGGCGCCTGCCATGCGAGGAAGAGAGGGTCAGCAAAACCGCAATCCATACCCACCTCTCGAACTCACGCCGCTTCGGCTTGCTCTTCCCAACCATGAAGCACTTGCCCATGCATGGCAGCATTCCCCCGTCCAGGACGTGGAGAATGTCTGCCGCGCATGTGAGGAACACGTTTCCCCACGTTGTCTCTGCGAAGTTCCACCTCTCCAAATAGCACAGCCACACACAACAACAACACGCATATAAAGTGACGTGGCGTCACCACGCCAACTGCAAAAATTCATACCTGGGAGCATACCGGCACTGGAACTGCTCACCTGCACAGGGTGTGTGGACCATCGTCCCTTGATTTTCTTCACCGCCTTGCTGTCATCAGCCGATTGAATTGCCGCCATGACACGCCTGTGCAGCTCCACTGTCCGCACCACCGACTTTTGTGCCAGGTCTGCCAGATGTGTCTCCATGATGTAGCACGAAGAACACGGCCGATGTGAGCCTTGTTGCATTGTCGCACTAGACCGCGACGACTCTGGGAAGTCCCCCACCTGCCCAAAAAGGCAGGGAAAGGCCTTCACCACCTTGCCGGTCGCGTCCATTACATAAAACCACCACAACTCGGCTTTGCACATGGCAACATAGCAAATGGTAGGCATGCATGTCACAGTAGACCAAGGGTGCTGCACCGCCCCACCCACTCACCCTCTGTGCGCCCGAAGTAGGGGCTCGAAGATCACCTCCATGCACTCTTGGAATATTCGTGTCTTCTCCGTCGATGACGCCCACTCTGGTGGGAACGGCAGCACACTCGCCCCGGCTCCTGCCAGCGTAGCGCTTCATGTATGTTGAACCGAATGATTGAAACCGGCCATGCCGCCAGTCTGCCATTCCTCGAGACGTGCGTGCTGTCGCTGTACACTATCACACCCAACACAAGGCATTCCTGGTTTCCAATCAGCGCCTGCGTACAGTATGCACCCAACCGTTAGTGAGGGGACGCACGGGGGTTTCTGCGCATTCCATGCAACCTAACATATTACATACCTGCGCTTCTTCCAGCCACTTCCCCGTGTCGGGAGTGCTGTACCGCCGTACCGTGTCGGTGTCTTCCGTGTCCACTCAAGGCTTGGTGACAAAGCCCGCAATGTGCTGGAATGCGCGGAGCAATTTCTTCACCAGCTGCCACACCCACACGTATGCCAACACGAGGTTAATGGTCTGCGCCATTTCTCCACCCGCAATGCACCCCTCGATTGGCCCTATTTTCGGGCGATAAACATCCACTCACCAGCTCCGTATCCTGGTAGTGCAGAAGCAGCGTGCACATCCTGCCTATTGGTCTGTAGCACTTGATGTCCTTCGTCTTCCATGGGACCTGATCCCTTGGTGCCCTGTCGCGACCAAAACGTCTCACATCCACGAAATTCAGCCACTTCCTAAGAAATTAGGGTTCTGTAATATGTTCAGCAGTCTGTTCACCTCCCTTCTCGACAAATCGGCTCCACCAGCCTCTCGGAAGAAAATGTACAGCTCCACCAGAGTATTAAAGCCGTCGTCTATCGCGGACGTGACACTCTCCTCCCCGTCGCTATCCTCCTTGGGGCCTTCGCGAGGGTCGGGTTGATCGGTAACTGCAGAAGGGTCCACTGCGGCCCCTGAAGCCGAGTCGCCTCCATAGCTGCGTCGAGAACCCACGGGTGAACGGGGCCTTGCTCCCCGCCTGGCGCGCAGTGTCAAAATTAGGAGAAAGAAAGAGGATTGAACTAGCAGAAATGGGGATACAAATAGCAAACCCTAGAAGGGTTGTACTCGCTATAAAGCACCCCACTACAGGCTAGAACAATAAGATAATATTCTGACACACTCCCATAGCCAAAGTGGGGTGTAATCAGCAGAGCAGGCAAAGCAAAACAAG